GCCAAAATATAAATTACAAAACAGTTGCCATCGCACCAGAAAGTCCAGGAGATATGAAGATGTCATTTTGTTTTCTCTGCTAAAAACAGTCAACTAACTATCACCCTCGCTTCTTTGTCGTCAGCCATATTTGTTTACTCTGATTTCAGGTTTGACCTTGAGAGAGACTGTGAGTGGCTGTACACCACACAGTTTAGGACCAAACCTGTTATATCTATATTTTTTTATTGTCATGTGATGGGACTCTCAGTCTTTGAAAATMAGCCAATTTTTTTTTTTTTAATTTTGCCTTGTGAACCAGGTATTAAAGCCTCTCTGGTGTGATTTAACAATTATTGTACACAAAACGTGTACCCAATAGACTCTCAGGATCTGGAGCAAACTTAACCCTAACCCATCAAAATAGTAGTTATTTATTGTGAAGTAGAACCTCCAGATTTTATTTTATTTTTATGTCCAGTTTGTAAGGCAGTCAAACTTGGAAAATGCCAATGGGGTGGATACTTAAACATTTAGAGAATTTCTAAAACCTTTGACAACGTTCAGGCTTCTTGTTCCCGTGGAGGAGTAGATGAGGAGGAGTAAAGCGAAGGACATCACCTCTGTCCAATGCCCCCAGAGCACAGCTCCGTGTCGCTGCATATGTGTGTGTCAGCACAAGTCTGTGAGTCCACACAGTCAGTCTTAGTTAGAGAGAGAAGGTGGCTTTGGGTAAATGGAAGTGGAGCAGTGCCAGGCTCACATCTTCATTCCACTTTAGGAAATGAAGGGCAGCAATGAATCGATGGAAATGGATCATGAGGAGAATATGGGCAGTTTTAGATCAGAGGCCGAAGCGGTGCTAAAGTACTGTAGGTCACTGAGAGCTATTACAGGAGGGCCAACAAGGCCAGAATTTATTTATTTATTTCCTTTATTGTGCAGCTGGGTGGGTGTCACAGTTCCCAGCAGTTTGGATTTTGCTTATCAACAGCAACGTTATTCACTGTCACTTTATTTCATACACAACACATCGCTCACACTGGGGAGTTTATTACACTCTAGACAGCTTCAGAATAATACCATTTGATTGCATCTTAAATTTGATGATAGTGCAGCCAAAATGCCCCCGGCAAAAAAACAAAAAACAAAAGAAAAACAGCTGCTTGTGATTTAGAGCTGAAAACTGCAAACTAAATCCCTACCAGGCGTAGTGTAATGCTGAAGTTTCTTGGAAGAACACTTTAAAGCTTACTGTTCAAAGCGCAGGTTGCGAATATCTCCTTGATTAATCTTCACTATGCAGTCGTTCTCCTGGAAGAGACATTCCTGCTCAGCTTTCCCTCCAGGCTCCAAACGCTTCACCAGCAAACCTTGTGTCCTGCAAAAGAACACATAGCASCCTATGTATAACACATACATAAATTCCAAGACATTATAACACTGGTKAAACTAAAGGCCCATGACGTTCATGTGCCATCGCCCCTTTACCCTCCCCAATTTTATTATCTTTTTTTATTAATTTAAAATACAAATACTTCTTTTAACAATGGAGAACTTAAAATGTTTGATTTAACGCAACAAAATAAAGAAATTCAAAAGGTAAAAGATAATAATACTTATTTGACCCCTGAGCTTTTGGCTTTAAGAAACAGTGGCCCCCTGAGCAATTTAGCTGAATAGCCCTGTAATAATGTCTCAAAAAAAGTAACTTTAAAGTCAGCATTGACCATAAACTACATGTCCCATATTGCAAGTTGATTATGCATGGGAATTCCCTGTCGGAAAGTGGGAGAGTTCTGAATTCAAGCTAGCAGCTACTCACCACAACTCAACAGTAAGTAAAACTCACTTACATTTTACTTTTAATGGTATTTATGTATTTTTTTTCGCATTTAGTCAGTCACCCACTTTCAGTCATTATAAGAGGATGTGCTAAAATGCTGTTTTCATGCAAGAAATACCACATAGAGCTCTGTGATTGTTTGTTAGCAATGAGTCAAGGAATGTGGTTTTATGTTTAGTTGAAGTTAAASKCAAAAATATCAAAGTTAATTACAACTGGCCCTTTGAAGGCCACCATAATGCTCACGTGGCACTCAGTGAAAAATAATTAGACACCCCTGCATTATAAGGTAACAGCAGGTTTAGTTAGATTACCTTGATTGAAGAAACAAAACCTACATTTTAAAGAAAAGTCATAAGGATCCTCAGATTTGATTCATGATGTTTCAAGGGACATTTTAAATTAAACTGCTGCAAGAATTATTTTAGAAAATCTCATGAAGTTATGTTAACTACATCCTAACAAAAGTTTACTTTCCAAACTCGGATAGAAACCTGGAATTTTTTGTGTCCTAGAAATTTGCCGCAATAAAACTCCCTTTTACGATTCCATATGTCCTCCTGTCCTCCACTCTGCTTTTCTTTCAATGTGCAGATCTGAGAGAATGGCGGCAGCTTGTCTGAAATAATCTAGACTACAAGCTAGCAGATCATCTTTTGGCTTTCAGGGAAACATTACAGCCTCCCTCCCTAGAGCTTAAGGCGAGAGCTAGCTGTGCTGGGGGAAAAAATAGCAAAAGAGTTTCACTGCATTGCCATCTCAGCAATCCCCTCAGAAAAGAAGACATTTTCTTTCAAATACTCCCTGCCTCCATTTCCCTCTGAATAAATACATCAGTGAGCTCCCTGAGGCTTTATCTAGGCCCGAAGGATAACCACATGCAAAGAGATCTGATGTAGCTTACACAGCAGTACAATAAAATCCAGCTAATATCTGAGGAGCAGGAAGATGGAGTTAGCAGAGGTACGCTCAGCTTCCCCTAAAATTAAAAAAAAAAAAAATAAGTGATCAAATATATACTGTTGTGTGTACATGTCATTGACTAAATATGCGCTACAACACGCTCAACTTTTGTTC